AAAAAAAAAAAGAGAAATGTGACTTGGAAACAATCATTGCTGAAAGGCCGTCTCTTTCTATTATGTCAGCCAGCCCAGCTACCATGGTACACTCTGGGGAAGAAATTAACTAAGTAAATAAAAATATACGGGCTACAGAGCATGCATTAAAATCTCAGTGTCGCCAAACGACAGATAAAGAATGCTTTTTATCTCCAGCTTAATCTGCTCTGATGGATGCTCAGAGAGTTTGTTCCCTCAAAAGCTTGCAACTGGTTTGACATCAGTTATTTGCAGATTCAGGCGAAGGGGGCTGTCCTGAAGGAGAATCCTTTGTCCAAATATTCCTGATGATGTCCTGGAAGAAAAAAAAAATCTCCGAAGGAAGATTTTGTTCAGACAACTCCGATTTTTCGTGACAATTTCTGACATTTATATTATTAGTATTGATAGCTTGGATAGGTTCTAGTTATAATACAACTAGCTAGTAATTTCTTCAGCACCATTTCTGTAGCTATGGGTACAAGCTATTTCCCTTTCTCAACATCTGATCTTATCTCCAGGCTTGAATCCCCCACATTAAATCAACATAGTATAAATACAACCTTATAAGCTAAAAATGTTGAGAAGAATGTTGGAAACAATCATTGCTGAAAACTGTCTCTTTCTGTCCTGTATTACATCAGCCAGCCCAGCTACCACAGTACACTATGGGGAAGAAATTAACTAAGTGAATAAAAATATACGGGCTACAGAGCATGCATTGTATCTGGAAATTGGAGCTGGAGAGATGCCTCAGTGTTGAGTACTTGTTGCTCTTGCAGAGGACTTGGGCTCAATGCTCAGCAGCCACGTGTGGTTCACCACCATCCCCTAACTCCGGGGGACTCACATGGTACAAATTCAAACCCATAAAATAAATCTTAAAATAAAATAAAATAAAATCAGCATCCAACAGAAAATCCTCAAGATGGGATTTCATAATTCAAGTTTGACAAAAATTGGCTCATTTCTTTGTCGTTACACGGAGGAAGCTGCCGGGGTTCCTATCATCTGTAGGAGGCGATTGGAAGTCCTGAATGATATGAAGATATTTGAAGTTCACCAAGACAAAAATGTATGCCTTGGGAATCAGCCACAAGACAGAAGCATCCCTACAAGATCACTTCCGTTACCCAAATACACCCAATCCATGCCGGGATCAAAATGAATCCTGACTTGGGAATTCTAACCCAGGCGTGACATGTGACATCTCTCCTGGTTTTAACATGGTATATCTAATGATCAAAGTGAGCAAATTGGGTGGCTAGCTGGGCGGGAGTCGGGGGTAGGTGGGTGGTGGTGTGTGGAGCTCAGCTCCAGCCTCAGATATTCACTGAATGAAGAAAACTCGGTAGCCCACACGGGAGGCTCTGGTCTCTGAGAACTTGTGTAGCCTGGCCTGTGATGTTGTGGTGTTTATGTGGATGTAGACAAAGATTTGCTAAACCCAAACTGATTATCTCAGACCTCAGTGTTAATTGATAGCCAAGAGTTAGTTCTCTGGGAATCTGAATAGCCCTCCCCCCACACTCACTCTTTTCCCCTCCCCCCTTTTTTTTCAGCAGCCCCAAGAAGCCTGCTGCATCTCTGCACTGTAGTGCAAACAGATCCCTGCAAAGAGAAGGGAAGATAAAATGAATTTAAATTCCAAAGGGGTTCCAGGCCCCGTTTCCTAGTCCCCAAGTCAGCAATGTATTTGTGAAAATTCAGCCTTTTTGTCTCCTAGTAAAAGGAGCTAAGTCTACAGCGGTGGCCCAGTCTCGGTTGCTATTCTTTGCATTTTCTATTCGAGTGAATGAGAGTGAATGAAGTGGCCGGGGCCCTTCATTTGATCTACTCAATTGCATAAAGTGACAGAATTCTAATATATTTGTTTAATGCTCTTCAATGGGCTTTCACTTTTTTTTTTTTTTGGCTTGCAAATGAAGCATCCGTGGGCAAAGTTTTGTCCCCCTTTAACACTGGGACATATTTCATAATTCAAGCCGTGGTTTGAAGTGATCTGGAGAGGAGTTTTAGACTCAAAAAGTGAGAAATAAAGAGACAGATGTGCAGTTATTGTAAATTCCTAGAGTGGGCTCTGGGGCTATTGTGCCCCCGCGGCGGGAGGTCCTGGGGCTGTCCTTTTCACACTGTAATTGAAACATATTAATTAGATAATTTGTTGTTAGTTTAAACGAAACAAATGCATTTCCTTTGAGGCTTCGCAGCCAGTGGGTTGGGCTGCTTTGGTTTTGTTTTTGTTTGGGTGTCTCTGCACTTACTTGACTTCTAGAAGAAAAATATATTAATTGGCATTTATATGAAGAATTTAAGAAGGGACCCTGCTCTTTTCTGACTCTCAGCTAAATACCCCTGACAAAGGGATTTCCACTGGAGCCTCAGTCCTGCAGTCTCCAACTGCAGCCTCATTTGAGAGAGAAAAACAGCACTAAACCTACCAGCCAGAGCTCCTGTATGGAATCTTCCTTGCTCTCGGCCTGTAACTTTACCCTCCTCTGGAGCTCTGCACCAGAGCCCTGTTTGTAAGACACTCAATATTTTCAACCACTGGAAGAAATGAAAGTCACTGGTTTAGTATCTAAGTCACTGAAGCCCACGTCTTAAGGTTCCGACCACTTCCCAAAGACACCCTGTCACTGAAGAATGGCAAGAAACTCCTGAAGCTCCCCGCCCCCCTTGAGGAAGTGGAAGAAATCCATCTCCTGTGTAAACACTGATAGTAATGCAAAGGAACAGTTTTAAAATAAACTTAAACACATGACCTGGAAGAACCTCAAAGAAACAATATAGCTAAATTTCCAAACAAAATCAATAATAGAAAATCAGCACTGCCTGGATTTGAAAAGTGGGAAAGAATGCAGCATACTTTTTAGGACTTCGCTTACACCATCTCCCCTCCGGCTCTATTTTAAAGCTATGGGTCTTGACTTTGGATGTAAGCCAAGTGAACATTTCCCAGGACAGAGAGGAGCACCCTTGAAGCCATTCCTTATGAAGTTCCTGGTTTGTGAGGCACTTCAGCTAAATCCACACAAGTTTCCAAGGTGTGTGTGTGTGTGTGTGTGTGTGTGTGTGTGTGTGTGTGTGCGCGCGCGCGCCTGGGTAGGACATGTGTCTATTTGAGTGGGAGTCTCTACATTTCTGCTCCAGACCAAAATATCATCAAAGTTGCCGTGTTCGCCCTTTCTTCATTAAGCTCTGACGGAGGGGGAGAATGCCTGCAACCTGAAAGGAGACAGGCTCTGTACCTCACTGCCTCCAGTACATTAATAGAATGTGTGCATCCCCCTAACCTAAAAGAGCTGCCAAGGAAGGCCATGGAAGACAGTCTACCTGGCTAAGACCGGAAGATGTAAGAGGCCCACGAGAGCTCTCTATGCACCCTCAGCCCCCACTGTTAACAAATTAGATGAGATCACATTATTCCAGATTCTGTATTAAATTTAGTTTTCAGGACGCTGAAAATGCATTTCTTTGTCTCTTTCTCTGAAATGAGCTCTAGTTGAGAACTAAGTTTCTTAACCAAGGGTGGCTAAGTTTTCCAGGCTTCCTCTGGCTGATCTTATTGATATAATTGTGAATTAGGTTTGATGAATGAGTTTAGTTGTCCGCTGTCTGACTGGCTTTAGAAGCTTCATGCATTTTAATCAGCCTAGTGATTCATTTACTTTCCACTTGTGTGTGTGTTTGTGTGTGTGTTTGTGCGTGTGTGGGATCCTTCTCTTTTAAAGACAGAACAGACACAACAGGATTAATTATGCTTTGCATTAATCCTAACTGTTTTTCCAGGTAGCACGTTAATTACACAGCAGTGACAGGTGCGAAGGGTCCCCTTACAGAACACTTCACCAGTTTCTAGGTGTCTTGGGGGGCTTTCTCTGTGTTTCACAAGGCTCCCTTGTTTAATCATTTACACACTAAAGTGTTAATCACCATTTAAGTTTCTCTTTGTCTTGTAACTTCTTCAGTTGAATACACAACTCACTGGGGAAATATTGTGACCCCCTTCAACCAAGTGTCAATTAGCCTTGAGCCATAAATTCTCCGAAGGTTTTAATTCTTTGCAAAAAAAAAAAAAAAGTGGAAAGAAACCAAGTACTTAGAGACAGGCGTTTAAAGACGGTTCATTCACAACTCGAAAATAAATGCATCCAACTATCCACCCCCCCACCCCGGAAAGAGTTGAAAGAAATCTACTCGGTGCAAAGCAAACAGGTTTCTTGACCTGGACAGTGAACCTTCAGGTGATTTCTGAAAGAAAGGAAAAGCCAGTAACTGCAGCACTCTGAAGGAGGGAGGAAGGGTTCCTCCAGACGGGAAGCCTCAGGAGGAGCGCGGAGTAGCCCAGCCTGAGAGTGCTCTGTAAATTCCACGCCAGCCTTCTGCGTGTGTCAGCGCAACGTCACAGAAGGCATACTTAAGACACACAACCACACAGGAGGCACAGCAGTTGTGTAGTGTGTTTTCTTCAGCGCTGCACCTGTGCCCTGAAGTACTTGGTCTCAGTCTCCCCCTGTGCACAAATGTCTTCCGTGGTCTCCCTAGAATAATTCCTCCCACGCCTGAAACTGCACACGAGGGTTCCCTGCTTCCATAACATGATTTGGAAAAGGCAAAGCACCCAGACCATGTGTTGGCAGACTGTGGCTACCATCTTTTGTCCCTTGTAGCAAGTCTTCAAAAACACACAAAACTTAACAAAATTTGAATTTACATATTTTAATGAGAAAATATGATTTAGACTAGGTCATAATTTAATGTAGACACCTTTTTAAAACTCTGTCTTTAAATGGGCATGCTGGGAACAAGGGCATCAATATTTTAAACGCCATGCGAATTCTGTGCAGAGAGGAAGAAAGATAAAAGGGGAAAAATTTTCACAGCTTGGACAACACTACAGTTCCTCTTTTTAAATTAAGCAGGTCACACCGGAACAACTGTTAGGCTGTTCTTTGTTGGTTTGTGTTTGTTTGTTTTTGTTTTCAGTCAATTTACCTAGGACGCTTAAAAGGAATAATACCAAACCAAAGTGCATTTTACACAGTGTAAATCATTCCTATTTACAACTCTTTGCAGCCCTTCAGCTTCCCGGAAAAGTTCTTCGAACAGAAAGAGCTCTGTTGATATCCCCCTTCGCGTTCCCAGTCGGTTCACCTACATTCTTCCCCACTTGCCCTTAGGTGCTTTCTCGATGGGGCTTAGTTCACATTTCTTTTTTTTCTCTTCCTTTCTTCTCTCTTTCTTTCTCCATCAAAATAAATAGCTAAAAACGCCTCTAAATAGTAAGAAAGTTAACATCCCAATTAACTTCCCCCACTCCCTCCCTATCCCCCCCCCCCAAAAAAAAAGCTGGCCAGAAAAGTAAACATTCACATTACAACAGGTAATTGTAAAGGGGACTCTGCCCCCTCGCCCGCCCAGCCAGGCGGATGCTCAAATTCACTGTTTACATTTTTTTCAACCGCGCGCTTTGTAAACAATAACAGTGACTTTTAGTTGTGTTTTGCTTGTGCGCAGGACAAGCGTCCTCCCCAGTTTAGGGGTCTCCCTCCTCACTCCCAAGGAGCCTCTAGCCCGAAAAAAAAAAAAAAAAAAAACCAGAAGGAAAGAAATTTGAAAATCCTCTTTAGAAGCCCGGGAGGCAGGGCCGCAGGCAGCCCGGGGAAGCAGCGGTCCGCCCTCCCGGCCTGGTGGGCGGAGGCGAGGTGCTCGGAGGATTAGCGGGTCCCGCAGCCGCAGATTTCCAGGACCTAGAAGGTCCAGCCCTAGCTCTTTTGCTGCGGCCTCGGTGGGCTTCTGCTCCTAGGCTGTGTCTCCGGTCTTGAAATCTCGCAGAGTCCAGAGCTCCGCCGATCCAAGCTCAGAAGTTGCGTTTTGGGGGCGTTTTGTTTTGTTTGCTTGGTTTTTTGTTTTCTCCGAGCAGGAGGGAGTCAGGGCGTCCTGCCTGTTGGATGGGGGTACATGGGGGGCCGCTTGGCTTGGGCTAGTTCCTGTTTCCCCTGGTGCCCTACAGGGGCGAGGACAACTTTCACGCGCCTTCTGGCAAGTTTGCGGTTTGTCTTCTGGGTCCAAAAACCAAACAGGAGTTCTCCTAAGAGAGAGGATTGAAGGAAGGAGGTGGAGTGGGCAAGTCAGGGTAGCGTTCTAAGTTGGAGAGGGCTGGACCCGGAGTCGGGGACGTGGTGAGACGGGTTGGTGTGGAGGTGACCGAGAAGGAGCCCCGGCTTCTGTGGGTCAGTGAACCGCCACGGAGTGCAAGGCGGAGGCCGGGCTGGTGAGCGTCTCGCTCGGGGTGGCTGGGCTGCTTTGGCTGGTGGCTGTCTGCGAGGACGTGGGGCTGAGCGAGGGCGGGGAGTTCGAGAGCAGGGTGGGGATGGGCGCGGGCAGCGCTGGCAGCGCGGGCACCGCGGCCGGCGTGGGCTTGATGGGCACCGGGATGGCGGGCAGCGTCTGGCCCGCGGCGTGGCACAGGGGCTTCAGCGGTACTCCGTAGGCGCTGTAGTCGCCGCTCGCCATGGAGATGGGGGTGGCCGAGTCGATCATACCCGCCGAACCGTACACGTGGGGCCAGCCCGTGCCCAGGGAGCTGCCCATGGTAGTCAACTGGTTAGGGAGAGGGTAGGCAGCCGGGACCGGCTGCATGGCAGAGAAGGCCAGTCCCCCGGGCATCTTGTACTCCCTCGCGATGATGTTCTCGATGGCGAAGGGGTGCTTGAAGCCCGAGGGCTGCGCCACGCCGCCCAGGTTGTAGGCGGCGGCCGGCATCTGCGGCAGATGGGTGCCCGAGGCGGCCAGCGCGCTGAGCCGCAGCTTAGCCTGCTGCTGGAGGTACTGCGCGGCGTCCGCCGGCTTGCTGGGCGCCAGGTGGTCGGACTTGAGCACCTTGAAGCGCTTGCGGCGCCGCAGGAAGCTGCCGTTCTCGAACATGTCCCCGCAGCTGGGGTGCAGCGCCCAGAAGCTGCCCTTGCCCGGCTGGTCGGGCCGCCTCGGGATCTTGATGAAGCAGTCGTTGAAGGAGAGGTTGTGGCGCAGGCTGTTCTGCCAGCGCTGAGTGTTCTCCCGGTAGTAGGGGAAGCGGTCCATGATGAACTTGTAGATCTCGCTGAGCGGCAGCATCTTTTCCGGGGAGCTCTGGATGGCCATGGCGGTCAGGGAGATGTAGGAGTAGGGCGGCTTCTGGTCGCTGTACGTGTTGCGGCCCGGCCGAGGCATCTTCGCGCTCGCCCGCTTGCTCAGGGTCTGCGCGGCCGGGAGGACTGCTCAGATCTGGGGGTGCGGGAGGAGGGGAGGGTGATGGAGAAGGGCAGCCTAGGTGTAGAGACACCCGCTAGATCCCTCAGGCCGAGTCAGAGATACAGGGGGTGGGGGATGGGGTGGGGTTCGGGTGCGAGCAACTTTGCGCACCAAACTGGATGGACCCAAGGTGGGGGGGGGGGGGGGCGCCTAGGGGGTAAGACCGCGATGGGAGGGCCGGGGCTATAGGAAAAAAGTCAGCGGGGCCTGGATGCAGGGGAAGGGAAACGGAGAGACGGACGCTCACCTTAAAGTTGCTCCAAGTTGCCGGTCCGCATCCGGGATGGCGCCGCTGGTGGCCGAGTTCCTCCCCGCGCGCGGCCGGAGCGCGGCGCCGGAGACCTGCGAGCCTGGCTTGCCCTCAGCCGGGTAAAGCTTCCCTCCGCGGGCTCCTCTCCTCCGCGGGCTGCGCGGCGCCCCTGGGTCGTGCGTCCTGCCGAGAGGCCGGGCTCCGCTGCTCAGCGCCGGAGCGCACGGTGGCAGCCGGCGCCTCCGGGATGCAGCGGGCGCTGCCGAGGTACAGGCGGTTCCGCGGAGCTAGGTGGCTACCTCCATGTCCACCCTGGAACCATCTGATAGTTTTAAGCGGTGACAGGAGCAGAAAAGACCCCTGTAGCGGCGCTTCATTAATGTGCCACTTCTTGCTACCGTGTGACAATCGCCTTGGGAGGAGGAGGAGGAGGAGGAAGAGGAGGAGGGAGCGGGGGCTGCAGAGGGAGGGGACTGAGGGAGAGGGGAGAGAGCCTGGCCAGCGCTGGGTTCTTTCACACCTATTTACATGGACACCTTGGCCAATAGAAATCACTTCCAGCCGAAGACTAGGCGACCGGGGAAGAGACTCTACCGCCCACGGGGAGCGGGCAGCGCCCGCCGGTGTGCGCGTCGCGAAGGTACGAGCAGGCTGCGCGCGGAGCCGGGAGCCAGGCGGCCACTCCGGATCGGAGCTAGCTGTCTCGCAGACGGTGTTTGACATGGAAATTGCTCGGCTGGGGTGTTCTGTCTCCTCCGCCTTGCACCGGGTGTGTATTGTTAGCTAACTTCCAGCACGGGCTTTCTCTTGCAGGGCGACCCTTTCACTTGGCTTGGCACTGCCCGGGGTTGGCTGGGTGGCTTTCTTAGGATGGAAACGTACCTCTCAGCCCCACCCCCAAGCCGGTTCTACAAGAGGCAGGTCGAAATTTGACTTGGCCTCCTCCGGGAGGCTTCCAAAGCTGGACCTTAGAGTGTACTGTCCTCGTTTTCAGAAGGTGCTAAGTCGATAGACACACACATAGGTATAAATATTCAGACAGCTGGGCAGATGGGTCTGTTTTGCATGTAAATGAGTTAAGTAAGTTTTTATTTATTTATTTATTTATTTATTTATTTATTTATTTATTTGTTTTTGGTTGTGAGCCTAGCCTTTGATGGCTGAGCCATCTCTCCAGGCCAAGGTAAGTTTGTTTTTAAAGGAAAAGAATGGATGAAGTTAGGAGGTTTTTACTTTGTAAGTCTTTCTTCAGTTTGATGGGCACAAGGAGGCTCAGGGGACGTTGAGGCAAGGCGGCATGCCGGCCTAAGGAGGGCCTGAGTTCGTGTGATGCACATTATCTCTTCCGGTCTCCTTCCTCCTGGTGATTGGAAGTTAGCAGCTCAGCCTTTTACAGTCCTCCCTCCCCCCCCCCTTTGAACACGGGAATAGTTTCTTCAGAGTCAGGAAAAGACAAAACGTGTCTGCTGAGATCTGCAGAGACCAGAAAGTTTTTAGGGAGTGGGGTGGGGGTGGGGGACGGGGAATGGGGCGTGCCTCTGGTCTTTGGGCCTGGTGAGGGTAGAAGGGCTCTTTTGAGTTCGGATTGGCCTTTTGAGGGTTAAATGAATGGTTATTAGCACTATCACCATCTTCGTCTCGCCATCATCACCGAAGTGCTAGGAAATAAACAGTGAGTCAGCCAGACCTATGCATGCAGTGAATACCAGCCAGGAGTTGCCACGCTTTTCAGCGCTTTCCCGGGCCTTTGGGTTTTAAAAAGTACCCCCATGCCACCATGTTAACTCAATATCCACAGCCTACACAGAACAGGCTTTAAACCTTGGAAACCTCTTTTTCCTTTTCTTCGCTTCATTCCCCCCCCCCCCCCCAGGAGGAGACGGAGAGTTCTAGTGTGAGGTTTGTTACACTTTGAGCGACAGTAGTGCATCGGTCTGTGGAGAGCATATTTTAAAAAAATAACAACAAGCCTTTCAGCTTGTGAGCACGCGCACGCGCGCACCCAGCCACCCAGCCACCCAGCCACCCAGCCACCCAGCCACCCAGCCACCCAGCCACTCACATAACTTCATTAACCACAGTTTCGAAGCTGGTCAATAACTCACCAAAACGTAACTTAAACACGACGAATTTAGGAGATTAAACAATTTCATTAATATTGAAATGGCTCTGGCGCCCGGGCTGCCGCGCTTTAGATGCAAGCGCACGTTTTTCAATATTAACAGAGTGCTTGAAGGGAAGAATCCTGTCACCTTCTTAATTCGGGGAAAAAATAACCAGGCGGAGGAGGGGGGCAGGGAGGTGGGGGTGGGGGCGTTGACCTGTCTCGCGGGGGCAAGGCTTCTCCAAAGATCAAATCAGTCGGACCCCAGGCCCAGTTTGGGCCACAGACAGACCTACCGGCCTGAGCTGCGCGCGCTACCGCCGCTAGCGAACTAAGGTTTGGGAGTGTTTCTGCGCGTGCCCAGGTTAGGCTCTAGGGTCTGGGGTGGGAGGAGCTGGGAGCGAAAAGGGGTGGAGAACCCGAGGGATGTTTGGAGAGGGATCGAAGGCTGGTCCAAGTCTTGTTTGCTCCAGATACAGCTGGCCTCCGAGGCACTACAATAGGCGCTTCTTTAAACCAGGCAGGATGGCTCCTGGGTGGAAAGGTACCGGAGCGGAAGCCCTTGCGTATTTTAAAGGTCCTTTTTAGCAAACACGTGCACAATGCAAAGACGGATAAGATGTTTGTGGTGGTTGCGTTAGAGATGGTAAAAGGCTGTTGCTTTCCCTCTAGCTAGAGACAAACGAACAAGATACTCTTCCTACTCTGTATGCGTGCAGGTTAATGGTGAGGAACAGGGAGCGAACACTGTTTCCTTATTTTAACAATCGGCATTTTGTTGTCCTGCAAAAGGAGCCATTGTGTGGCTGTCGAAATCACTGCTCAGAGCAAACAGAAGATTAACTAAATTCTAAAGTAGAAATGTTCACGGGGGCGGGGGGGAACACACCATCACCAACCCTCACTTGGAATAAATCTCTGTTCATCTCCCTGGGGAAAACTGTCATCACGGAGTCCATGCAATAATACAAGCAGGAATTGGTGTTTGAGGAATTTTCAAAGATGGACAACAGTGGGGAAGGGAGCTGAGGCTCACTGCCCACGGTCAGGCTTAATTAAGTAAACGGAACTAAGTCGCGCAAGTTCGCCTTGCGAGGGGAAAGGGGCTGTGAGAGGCGCGTTTTCACCCGTGAGCATCGCTGCAACGTTCTACCTCAGTTGCTGCCAGGGGTTTTCAAGGCTCGGGGGAGGGGGGGGGAGTTGCAAACTGTTTACAGCGTTTTAGGAGTGGGCTTATAAAGAGGAATGCTTTCCAGAAATCTTGAAAACGTGCGTCTATTGTCCAAAATGCAAAGCCAACAGAAGCCGGGTGGAGGTGGGAGGGGCAACTCCGACCCGGGGGGGCTTAAGCGGTTGTTGGGAAAACTGTAGAAAACACACACAAGTCCATTACAGCCCATGTGCCAACCAAATGGGAATCCTCTCCAGCGAGGACCATTCACCGCCCTGTCAAGCCCACCGCCTACCACCTTTCTCCACCGAAAGTTTGCGGGAGCCTCTTTTCCCACAAGCTGGACCACACACGGCTGCAGATTTTGCAATAATTTATGCTAATTTCCCTCCATAAATCCACAATTCGCTTCAGTGGCACCCGAGCTGCCGAGGGAGTGAAAAGGAGACAGAGGGGTGACAAAAACAATATTGATTTTGATTCCTTGTGTTGTTAAGCAGGTGTGTGTGTGTGTGTGTGTGTTTGTGTGTGTGTGTGTGTGTAGGTGGGGTTGGCTTGCGGAGGAGGAGGAGAGGAGAGCCCTCTCCTACCCATCCCCTCCCGCCAACCTACCAAACACACTCCACAAAATAGCCGCGCCCCAGTTTGTTAATATTTACCAAACCGGATGGGAGGTGGAAGGTTCGAACCCGGCAGCGTCTGAAAGGTTTCCCTGACGCTAAGAACAATACTCGTCGCCCCTGCTGGAAAACGGAACCGCAGGCACCCGGCCTGGGCAGGGCTGAGCCCGGCTCTGCCCCGCCATCGCTCCCCTGGGCTCTTGCATTTCTCCCCACTGCGCCCTCCTGTATTCGCCCTGACCCTCGCTTCTCTAGGGGCTGCCTGGGCTGGCGGTGGGGCGGCCGGGAGGACCGAGGGCTGGGGCGCAGGGGCAGCTGAGGTTTGAGGGTTCTGAGGGGGGTCCCCCGCGGTGCGCTCCGCTCTTCCCGGCCGCTGCGCGCCGGTTCTGAGAAACCCGCGCCAAAAGCGCTGCGCCCCTTTTGTCCCATCAGTCATTCGGGACCAGATCTGCACTTTGGTGGCGTGAAACGACTTAGCTCCCCTTTCAAAAGGATTTTGTTCTGCGGGGTATTCAGCGCTAAACAAACTTCTTCAGCCTGTCAGAGGACAATTAAAAAAAAAAATGCCGTCCAGAGGGTCGCGGGCTGTTTGTGCTGGGCATCGTGACCCGCCCCCCAACACACACCTCATCGCTCCCCCTCTCTCCCCCCCGGCCCCCCAACTCTGCCTCGCTTTCCTGTTCTGAGGTACACGGAGAGCAGGCTTATCGGCGTGTCCTGTCTCTTGCCCTTGCAGGTTCGAGGGCCTCAGAGACCCCCGCGTGGCCCAAGAAGCAACGTACCCTCGCTTTTCGCTAGCGACTTCCGCGGGATTCTGAGCCTGCCCTTCCCTAGTCATGCTATTGACAAAACTGCTCCTACGATGGGAGGCTTGGGGAGCAGACACACGTTTTCCTCTTGTGCCAACAGTAATTGGTACCAAATGCCAGCCTATCACCTCTGCCAGCCGCCCCGGGCCCTGCTACCAAAGGAAAAAAAATGCCTGAAAGGGAGTTTGGGGACCATTTCATCGGCTGATGATGCCCACATGGGCAGAACAGGGAGGCTGAAATCAAACTTGGTTAGTATTTTCTACGGCCTAAAATCACGCTCCTCCCACCTGCTGGTTCAACCTCGCCAGTTCCCAGTAACCTTAGAATGGCCAGTGGTTGCCCCCCAATATCCCCGCACCCTCAATTTAGCCCCATCTAAACAGGCAAGGTCGATTTCAGGGGTATCCCTCCTGTCCCCACCAAGAAACCGAGGCTGTGACACTCTGTCTGAGGCAGGAGGAAAAAAAACGAGCGACCTGGATATTTCTCCCCGCTGTCATCCCACCAGCTGCTGCAAGGTGAAGCGAACCAGAGGCCTGGCTTTCCTTTCAACCCCAAGTCTAAAACATAGCAGAAGTTGGGCGCCACTGCAGCTGTACCCCTACCTTCCCCCCCCC